GGGGGCGGGGCTGGGGGCGGGGCAGCTGGTCATACAGCCCCTATTGGCCTCTGAAGTGAGTAGGAAAAGTGCAACGTGAGACCTCATCATTATCCCAAGCAGCTTGCAAGGCATGTGATGCTCTGTGTTTTCTCAGCTGGCTGGTCAGGCAGTAAAATGTATGCTCTAGCATTAAAAAAAAATACATCCACTCGTTAAAACAGCGGTTTACATCAAATTATGAGGTCTCCCTCAGTGTCTGTCTCACGGGTCGTGTGCCTCAAAGGGTGTATGGGGGTCGCCAAATCTGGCAGCCCCACAGAGCTGAGGCTGCCGCAGCCTGTCCCACAGGGTTCCCGCACCGAGCTGTGCGTGTTGCCAGCACCTACACGTGTGCCTGCTGTGCACGGGGTACTGGGATGCGTGATAAACCACATGGAGCAACAGCACGGACATGGAGGCAAACAGCACCAAACGTCCCCTCGTGTTCCCTGCACTGGCTGCTCGTGATGAAGGTCTGACAGCTTCTATCTATCTATCTATCTATCTATCTACCTACCTACCTACCTATCTACCTACTTGCCTGCCTACCTCCCTCCCTACTTGCCTGCCTACCTCCCTCCCTACTTGCCTGCCTACCTCCCTCCCTACTTGCCTGCCTACCTCCCTCCCTACTTGCCTGCCTACCTCCCTCCCTACTTGCCTGCCTACCTCCCTCCCTACTTGCCTGCCTACCTCCCTCCCTACTTGCCTGCCTACCTCCCTCCCTACTTGCCTGCCTACCTCCCTCCCTACTTGCCTGCCTACCTCCCTCCCTACTTGCCTGCCTACCTCCCTCCCTACTTGCCTGCCTACCTCCCTCCCTACTTGCCTGCCTACCTCCCTCCCTACTTGCCTGCCTACCTCCCTCCCTACTTGCCTGCCTACCTCCCTCCCTACTTGCCTGCCTACCTCCCTCCCTACTTGCCTGCCTACCTCCCTCCCTACTTGCCTGCCTACCTCCCTCCCTACTTGCCTGCCTACCTCCCTCCCTACTTGCCTGCCTACCTCCCTCCCTACTTGCCTGCCTACCTCCCTCCCTACTTGCCTGCCTACCTCCCTCCCTACTTGCCTGCCTACCTCCCTCCCTACTTGCCTGCCTACCTCCCTCCCTACTTGCCTGCCTACCTCCCTCCCTACTTGCCTGCCTACCTCCCTCCCTACTTGCCTGCCTACCTCCCTCCCTACTTGCCTGCCTACCTCCCTCCCTACTTGCCTGCCTACCTCCCTCCCTACTTGCCTGCCTACCTCCCTCCCTACTTGCCTGCCTACCTCCCTCCCTACTTGCCTGCCTACCTCCCTCCCTACTTGCCTGCCTACCTCCCTCCCTACTTGCCTGCCTACCTCCCTCCCTACTTGCCTGCCTACCTCCCTCCCTACTTGCCTGCCTACCTCCCTCCCTACTTGCCTGCCTACCTCCCTCCCTACTTGCCTGCCTACCTCCCTCCCTACTTGCCTGCCTACCTCCCTCCCTACTTGCCTGCCTACCTCCCTCCCTACTTGCCTGCCTACCTCCCTCCCTACTTGCCTGCCTACCTCCCTCCCTACTTGCCTGCCTACCTCCCTCCCTACTTGCCTGCCTACCTCCCTCCCTACTTGCCTGCCTACCTCCCTCCCTACTTGCCTGCCTACCTCCCTCCCTACTTGCCTGCCTACCTCCCTCCCTACTTGCCTGCCTACCTCCCTCCCTACTTGCCTGCCTACCTCCCTCCCTACTTGCCTGCCTACCTCCCTCCCTACTTGCCTGCCTACCTCCCTACCTACCTCCCTACCTCCCTACCTATCTACCTACCTATCTATCTACCTACTTGCCTACCTACCTACCTACCTACTACCCTACCCTACCCACCCACCCACACCTACCTATAAGCAGTGTGGACCCCTGCAGTAGCAGACTCTAGACAGAACTCCTGTGGCACCAGGAGGGGCTGGAGCAGAGAGCTCTGTTGCCCCTTTGGGGCTACTGGGTCTCCCCACACCCTTGGCCTCCTGCTCCCGTTGCAACGCACGAGGATCAGCCTTTTGCCACCACCACCCAAAAGGCTGTACAACATCCCAAGTATCAGAATTTAAGGTTTGAAATTAGATTTTTCCTATGGGTAGCAGTGACTTGAGCACACTTGAAAGTTTGAAGACATTTTTTGCTCCACTAATTAAAACGTACTAAGAACCTAGGGAAATAATAGTGAATTGAAAATGGAAATAAAATGCTTAGATTAAATACAACTGGGGCTGTAAATAGCTACTGTCAGCAAATCCATAATACTGATGATGGTTCTGAGGTAGCTGGAGAGCTGACTAGAAAGAAAGGGCCTGTGTGAAACAGAGAGAGGACAAGCTCTGTGCTTGTCACAGAGCCTGTCAGAAAAAATGTCCTGATCATTTTTCAGGGCTGTGAAGTGTGTGACACTGCTCCTTGCAAACAAGGAGTCTTGAAAGATACTACAGAAATGGAAACCAGGGTATCTTTCATATGATGCTAATGTAACGTCTGACTGAAAAAAAAGGACAAGGATCTCATCAGGTCATGGAAAGCATGTTTTCTGGCACATGTAGGAAAAAAGAGGAGCTGCTTCTCTTGGAAAAATCTTACATCCCCACCCCTAATGCCTGCAAATTTAACATAGCTGTAAATCCCTATATGTGTATGTTGTCACGGAGGCTTCAGCGAGGGAAGAATGCAAGCCAATCAATATGATTGATAGAGCAAAACTTCACTTTATTGGAAAAGAACAGGCACTTATATACTTTCATCCCGAGCTGCACATGTCCAGAACTACAGTTATGATTGGTCAGTTGTACTAGAGCCTGCCACGATCTGAACAGTTCCTGGGCTCAGGCATACACATGCTCAGTCAGAACTCTCTGCCCCGCTTCCTTCTTCGGCACATCCGGGTGTTTACTTCTTGCCTTCACTTTTATCAGCTGGTTCCCATGAGAAAGTCCTTGGTCACTGAGGCCCAGGGGTTCTCCTGCAAAAACTGGATTGCTCACATATCCATTGTTTATTAATTAATTAAAAACTCCCCCCAAAAGCCAGCCTTCTTACTGTGTTCAGTTTTCACACAGGAAAAAATGAAAAAAAAAAGAAATAAAATTTCATTAGGATACATGTCATAGCCATCAGGTGATGTATTAATATAATAGTGTGTTTCTCAGGCTCATGTAGAACATTTTTGCACGTGAGACATTTCATAAAACTTGCTTAATGCACATTTATTCCCTGACAGGTTGAATGGGAAAGAGCACAGTGTTTTCACAGGAGTGGCTATTATTCATTGCAGCAGTAAAGGTACATGTATTATTTCATTAATACTCAGTATTTTCGTTAAACATTATTCTCATAAGGACTTGTACAAGTAAAGAAACAGTAGGAAAATTTTTCATATACTGTCTGAATTGGCTTCCTACTCAAGATGAGAATTTACCTTATTAATATATTAATTGAAACCTCCCCCCAAAAGCCAGCCTTCTTACTGTGTTCAGTTTTCACACAAGAAGGAGGATGACAAAATACAACAGACCTCAGAAATACTGTCTCTGAAAGCTATGGGACTAAGACTAATTTAAATTGTGGGAATATTCTAAATGAAGTTAAAGTAAGGCAGTACAAACTGTGGGACTGAGCAGAATCTGATCCACATGGGAAGTTACAAGGCCGCTGTCTCTAAGAGTAGTTTCATGCATCTGTGTAGTATGTTTTTGGTTTTTTTCAAGCAAAACATCAAATGAATGCAAACAGCATAACATTTCAGTTTGATTTCAAAGCTACAATTTCTCTTTCTAACAAGAACTCTTCCTCTCTGTAGATAATCAACTACAGACAGAAATCACTGATTTCTATGAAGAGACTAAAGTAAAATTTTCTGACCTGTCTGAAGAGCTCTTATGGGAGTATATTCATAGTGGAGAGCCAATGTAAGTAAGACTCTGAAGCTATTCTCACAGTATTTGAGAATAAGCCTTGAGGTACATTATTAATCACCAGTGTAAAACATTCTGTGTTCTGTGAAATCTTGTCGTAAATGATAGCATGGGTCATGCAAGGTGAGTATTCAGTTCCTGTCTAGAACTGTCATTCCTCCAGGAAAAGTGAGCTACCTTTTTAGTACCTTACTTTTTAGTACCCTAACAAATCTGAAACATGAAGAGTGCTGAAATAATCTGGATTGGAGCAAACACTCAGGCAAAATACAATGACCCTTCGGTTAACAGAGGCATTTAGGGAGCTTGGATATCTGAGACAATGGGTAATCCTCATTATAACACAGGTGAATAGAGTCAGTATAGGATAATCAGAGTATTGGAGAACTTTGAAATAAGCTAGAACTTGATTTACTTATCAAAATTGCACTGCTCTAAGAAATGCCAACTCAATTTTATTGTGGACATCTTAAATGTGTTCTATGCTCTTATTCTCAGTTTGTTTCCTCTACCCTTGCAATATACTTGTTACTTAAAGGCAACATTACTTCCACAAAAGAAACAGGATGAGAGCAGAATGCCTAAAATCAAGTTGGCTAGATTGTTTAAAAGAAAAAAAGGAATTATTTCAAGACAACAAGGGACTGTTTGTAACTATGGAATTTGCTTCTCCTTTGTGTTAGCTGAAGCTTACGGGAAAGAGGAACTAAGTGTAGACTTTGGATTTACTGAAGTGCCTACATGTAAATGAGGCATACTTTCTGAACATGTAAGGTTCCCAGCTTATTAAAGACACTGAAGCTAAATTGGATTATGCAGAAAATAATCTTTTGGCAAGAATACACTTTGTAACAACAATTCCTAGATGGGTTTTTGGAAGATAAGTAAGCTGATGTAAGATTAAGTGTGGATCTGATCAGAAATTTACAGCTTGAAGGAGAAGTTACCATGAATTTTCAGGAAGAATATCAGGTTGAAAAATATTTCCCATGAGAAAGTCCTTGGTCACTGAGGCCCAGGTGTTCTCCTGCAAAAACTAGATTGCTCACATATCCATTGTTTATTAAACAACCCGCAACATGTGTACATCTTTAACATGATATAACCAAAGAAAAGGAAATTGCAATTGTATGCATGCTCCTAGAATTTGGGGCACAGTTCTTGTCCAGAGTAATCTTTCTAGACTGTGCCTTGCTTCATGTGGGATATAAACAAGCTTGACAAACTAAATTCAGACACTCCAGAGGAGTAAGATGATAATACAAAGTTTTCCATCTCAAACCAATGGGCCTGATTTTCTTCTTTTTCTCATTTTATTCAGTCTTCCAGTGTAGTTTGACTGACATAGAAGTGAAGCAATGAAGTTATGCCTCAAACCCAACATGTATATATGTATGAAGAACAGCCTTGACAGAAAGAACATCTTCTGTCCCCACCAGCTTGTTTTGGTACACAGAATTGGATTTCAGTCTGTCTTGAGTCATCTGTAGAGCCTGTACAGATGCACACAACATAACTCATCTTTGTTACATGTGATGTCTCATTAACTCCAGAGTAAGACAAGCATGACTTGCCTCCCTTGGCTGAATTCTGCTTGTATACTGCTCCTCTGATTTGCACAACAGACTTTTTGAAGGTTAAACAAATAAATAAATACATAAAATACCATATATGGAATATCTATAGATTGTTTTACATGAAAGATCAGGCAATGTTAAAAAACTGAGATCACTACAACAATTTTTTTTATGCAAACAGAATAAGATGTGGCTTTTTTGTTATTATTTTTAAGGATGGGTAATTACTAAATTTGTTATTCTGATAAACTTACACGACAGATTGAGTCTATTTAAGAGACAATGACTTGAAGTTATTAAAATACACACTTTCATTTACCTTTATGCTATTTTTGTTGGTCTAAAAGTGGGTTCAAAGGACCCTTTGTGAGCAAGGTAAACAAAATCCCACAAGCTGCCACAGCTCCATAGCAGCCCTGCAAGAGTCCAGGCAGAACAAGTGTGAGGCTGCAATGAGGTGACCACTGAGGTGAAGATCAATAACACCAGCAGTTATCAGGAAAGTTTCTGTCTTGGCTGACTATGCTAGTCAAAGATTAGCTTGTTCAAGGTTGCTTATGAAACTGTTGACTTTTTCAAATATCCGAGGTATTTTAAACAAGAGCAAAATAGCAGTTAGAGCTCTGAGCTGAAGAGACCTTGCTTCAATATTTTTGTTCCGAACGTCTCTGCTTTTCTGCCTACATGTTTATATTGTGGCCACCCCAGTAATACTTTCCAGCACCTAAGGAACACTGTGATAACCAAAGCCTTGTGCCTACTTTTACATATATCACAATGATTGTAGGTGTTCAGCCTGGACGTATAATTTTGCTGAGTCACCTGTGCAAGATCAACTTGTTTGAGGACCAACACATTTCCATTGTGAAGAAATTAGTGAAACCCAGAGCTGTTGCTATGAAGGGAATGAATGTTTCACCTTTCACAAGGCAGCTTGGCTTTTCTAGGATAACCTCATTAATTCCAAGAGCTCAGACACGTTTTTCAGGGACCCTCTTTCTGCCATTGAAATCCAACCATAGTCCAATGTGTCTGCGTAGTTCATGAAGTAATTAATAGATTTTGTTCTATTACTGTAGGAAAAAGAGCATTAGTGGTTTACAGATGGATTCTAATTCATTCTTCCAGACTACTGAAGATTTACTGGGCAATTTTAAGACTTTCAGGAGCAGTTTTCCAGACTTAGGGAGTGCTTTCAGAGTGGGTACCTTGGATTTCTTTCACCAGTCTTATTTTTTAGCTCTGTGTTCTCATATTCCATTTTTAAGAACCCTTGTCAATTCAGTTTTCTTAAGATCAAATCTAAATGTTCCTTCTTAATCTTCTTGGATGGCCTGTAACAGCTTGGTGTATCTGCATGATCACTTTCCATAATTTTCTTTTCTATTTGAAGTAGCGTGGTGTTGCAAGTATATAGAGATATTTTTTGGGAAACCACAGGAAGTCAGATTAAATAAAATTTTAAATTAAATATGTGGCATGTATAGTATTTAATGTCTGTAAATGTTTGCTTATATGCTAAATTGAATCTATTTATCTCACATAGCTATCAAATTACATTATACCTTGCCTGTGAGGAAGCCTCACCACTGGTGAGGGAATGTAGTATATCTAGTCCTAGAAGAATACCAGCCTGTATCTCAGGCAGCTCTGTGTCCATCTCATGGGAAAAGGAGAAGCAGCTACATCAAATATGGATGTAACAATGCCAAGGATGAGAGCATGGCCCTACACAAAAGATCTCTTAGGAACACAGAAATCATTACCCAAACCCTAGTGGAGCATCCTTGGCCGGTGTATTTAAATAGCGTAAAGATGTTCTTTCCAAGAATTAATTAAAGAAGGGATGTCAGGAATTCAGAATAAGTGCTTTGCTTTTGTCCTCTGCCACAGACAAGGCATTGCAAGGTGGAGAAGCCTAGAGCCTTGAAAACAATCTTCCTGTGAAAAGGAGGCAAACCAAATCCTAGTGAGAGGAGCACAGAATGACACGTTTTGTCCCTGTGCTGTCCAAGCTGCCAGGCCCAAAGTGCCAGCACAAGGCAGAAGAAAGAAAATAACTCTTCCTTGCTGCTGGTTTCCACCTGATACCAAACAAGTGCTATAGCCCCTTCTGGGATGAAACGATGTGCTGCAAGCATATCCCAATTTACATGGTATAGAAGCAACATCACAGTTCCATACACATCCATAGATGTCTTTCCCAGCTGTTGCCACAGCCCAGTGTCTGCTGCTGAAAGCAACTTCGGATCTGCAGCTGGCTTTCTCTGTGCTGCCAGCTCGAGGCCAACAGCCAGCCTCAGAGGAGAAGAGGGTGCAGTGCCCAACAGCCCTGTAATCACTAGGACAGGAGGGTGTTTGCTGACAGCATCCCTAGTTACCCACATCTTTGAGAGGCAGTGGATTATATCAAATCAGTGAGCCTGTCTTAGAGTTACATGACTGGCTTGTGCTGCAGGGATAGTGCCACCTCTCATCTCGGTGTCATCCCAGCCTCACTCCTAACAACACCTCCATAATCTCTAGAGGAAAATAAATGGTATATCAGAAGATACAGACAGTTGTTCCTGAATTGTTTATATTTGAAAAACACAGAAGTTCATAAAATATTTTCAGAAAATGTGTGCACATAATGTATATATTATATATGCAACACGCATCTGTGTGTATTTCTATAAAACACATGTACATTTATGTCAGGTAAAATACAAATATTTTTGGCTAAGTATGAAAAACAAGTCATCCTTCTACTCGTGCAGTATAATGAATACTGCCAAGGCAACGGTATAAAGTTAGGGAAAACGAAAGTAAGATGCAGAGGAGAGAAGGTTTTATGGCTCAGCTGGAATCTGAGCTGCTCCAGGAAATTACTTCCGAGGCTCCAAGGTCAAGTGCATTGTGGAGCTCTTAAGGGTATGTTCTCTATTTAAATCTCCACAAGAGGGCAGTGCATCCCATAATTTTGGTACCTATTTGCTCGCATAATTTAACTTCCAAGTAGCTGCACAGAGCTCTAACTTGTAAGGACTAAAGACCCCTCATCACAAACATTCGAAGTCCTAGTTTTAAGTGGAAGGATAACTTTGTATAACATGCATGTGTGGACATACAGGGGTAACCAGAGCTAATGTCAATAGATCTAGCAGTGTCTTGAAAGAGACTAATTTAGAATGGACCTGTAAAGGGACATTGTAAACACATGAGTAGGTGCTGAAATACGTTTGTAAGAGCTCTTAGGGCCCCTCCAGAAAATGTGCATGGTTGTAAGAACAGGAAAGATCCACACCCTGTGGCCCAAATCACTTAGTTGAATGTGAAAATAAAAACTTAACTACTGTAAGATTAAAGGCTTTAGTTTTGTCTTCTGTCTTCTCAATCTGATCAGATTTATCAGTCGAAGAAAAGTGATCTGCTGTATTTTATCGTGGTGGACTTTAGACTTGGTGGAGCTGCCATGATTTCTGGTCTTACCCCCTGCTGGGCTGCAGAACTGTCAGCAGAAACAGTAGCACCTGGTTTTCAAGGGCAATTTGGGGGTTGCCAGACCCTATGTCAACAAACATGGTTCTCAGCCAATGGGGTGTCTCTGCCCGGGTAGATTGACCACAGGTGAGATCTGATTTAGTCCATAAAAACAGAGTTCCTGCTGGGAAGTCCTTAGTTAGGTTTGTCCTTTGGAGCAGTAGGTCTGTGAGGCAAGCCTGTCCTCCTAGGTCGGGATGCCAGGTAAGGAGCCTTCTCAAGATGGGGTCACCTCCTTGTTGGTGTGTGATGTATTTCTTCTAGATATATCTTTGACTGAGCCTTGTCCCTATAAGGCAAGTTATGGGAGGGAGGGGTGTTATCTTTGAGTGAATGTGCACATGTGGGCTTATTATTATCCATGTTAAGATTAGTAAAAAAAATAAAATAAATACAAACCAAACCAAAAAAAAAAGGCTTAAGAATTCTAGGAATTCTTAAGTAGTTGTGCTTTAGTGTGTTAATCTTTAAGTACTTGTGCTATAATGTATTCCTGAATGATATCTGAATTTATGATATTATTTTTGATTTATCAGAGTGTTAGATAGTGTTGATTGAAATAAGTATTCATTTCTATTTAACCCCTGTGTGTTTGTGGGTACCTTTTCTACAAAGGTGGTTCAGTCTCTTTGTAAAGGTAAATGATGCCTTTATTTTCTCAATTCCTTTGAGTCTGAGAAGGTGAGAAAGACCTGCAGCCTATTTAAGTGTTTGCTGAGGTCCTCAGGGAATATCATTTCCCAGGTCATGAGCCTGCATGGCTTTCCATCAGATAAACAAGCTGCTGTTACAAACGATATAAAAATCTGAGTACAGTTGTCAAGAAGAAGATAGTAAGAGTCCTGGGATGTCAGCATTGCTTTTGTGGCATGGGTCTGTGGCAACACGGAAGCCTACCAACACCTGGCTGGCTGAATGCAAGCAGCAGCTGAAGCAGCTGTAGGCTTCAGAAATGAAGGAGGCAGTCAATGTGACTTCTACCAGGCAGTAAGATGCTTAGAGCATCTACTTTTGATCTGACAAATTATGCTTTGGTGCCTGGCAAGACCCCATTTCCAGAGGTCTAAGTCTCTCAATGAGATATTTCTTCTGTATCTAGGCAGTGGTTTATTTGTCTGGTAGTCACATTCCTTTCCTTAGAGCAGAGGTGTGAAGATTTACAGCTTCTTCCAGCTTTCATACTGAAAGGACTCCATGTTTCTAAAATGAAACTGGCTGTTTATGAAGAAAACTGTTTACAGACATTCTCTAACTGCAGTTGGCCTCTTGCAGAGACTAACTTTCTGGATCTTTTTCCAAACTCCCAGTTACTGTATTTCTCTCCATCTGTCACAGAGGTTAGTTCTTCAGCCTCTCTCCCATCTCTAGTTTGAATCTGTTTATACCTCTCAAGCCTGTTGTCCTTTCTCCTTTGACAAGGCTGTTCAGGTGTACAGCAGAGGGGGCAAACCTTTGAGTTTCCTTAGTTTTAAGACACTCAAACAAAACACTGTCCCATTTTTTTTCTGGTACCTCACTGTATCAAACAACAGCAGTCTCCTGATCTGATAACATATGCCAGCTGTTTAGACTTGATGGAAAAATACTGAAAGCCATAAGACTTGCAACCAAGTTCTGAAGAGATGTTCAGTAGGAATCTGAACTTAAAACAGCCAGAGGCTTTTTTTATCAAATAAAAAAGAAAGGTTAACAAAAAGTACTTCAGTTAAAAATTGTTCTACTCTATTATGCTCCACATAATTACACTTAAAAGGTATGAGAAGAGAACACTCACTTGTAGGAAATTAATCCAGAATTAAACCAAATACATCAAGATAAATAGCAAGACAGAAATTTTGTTCTCAATAACTAATTTTAAGACTACAAACTGTAGCATAGAAGAGGAAATACTTATTCCAATAAAGGATTCCTCTGTTTTTCAGGTTGGATTTAAATACTAAGTACAATAACAGGCTTACATCCTACTCATTCTTGTGAAAGTCACTATATATTAGAATTTTCATTTTGAGCACTTAAAAGAACTGCAGCTTTAGATAAAATATTTAATAAAATGCCAAAAAACCTGATTCTCATCATGGACTTTACCAGGACAAAATACTGTCAGTTTATTTTAAATCAGTTTAATCTGGAGGAATTTGACAGGTCATTGAAAAAGTGGTCAGTGTTACATGCTGTTTCACTCAAGGGCCATTAGAGGTTTTGACAGTGTATTTGTGAGAATTCAGGCCAAGGCACCATAATCTTGACTAATGCGGCTATGACAGTTTTTAAGGGTAGATTATGCTGCTACCTGAGGAGTTGAAAGAGAGAAAGCACCTGTGAATGGCCCTGCCCCAGTCAGGTCTGCTAGTCAATTTCAAAAGCAGCAGTCTTCAAGAGCTGGGTGATGGAAATTATGAGAACAGAGTGTGAAAAGCTTGAAGTAGATTTAATAATTATACACTTTGAAGCAAAGTGGATTAATTGTTACCAATAGCCAGGAGGGTTTGTTGAAGGGTGATACACAAGTTTGCCTTTACCAGAATGTGAGAGACTGCTTGAGCAGTGGGGCTGAAGAAGGTGACCTCCAGAAAGTGTCTTCCGACCTCAATCATCCTGTGATTCTGTGACTTGTCAGCAGGGCTAAGTGGCAGAGAGCCAAGCTTGTGCCCTAGGCTGCCCCTGGGGCAGTCTTGGCTCCCTCCTGGACTCTGAGATAGCCTTCTCCAAGTCAGCAGCAGGCAAAGTTTCCTGGTGAATCCCTGCTGGCAGCACCCTAGCTGGCAGAGGGGAAGAGGCTCCACTCCAAAGCAATGCTGACAGGCCTCACGTGTGAGCAGGGCCAAGGGCTGTCCAGCTTTGTGTTTTACCTCAAGCACTGGCATTTCAAGAAGAGGAAGAACAGAACAATCACAATGTCATTTCCCTTTAATACTGCTCCAGCCTCTAGCCATTTTCATCTTAGGGGTTTGCCCGAGTCTGCTGTGATTTGCCTATTTAGTAACCTACAATGGTTTTCTCTTTCAAGTGCTTTTCCACTCTCTCAGTGAGTGCATCCACAACTCTCTGGGGAAGGTGCTCCCCAGTTACAGTTATGAGGAGTGATACTAACTTTTCCTGGCTTTGAGTCTGGATCTCATTAGCTTAATATGTAACTCTTTGGTTCTTGCTTCTTGGGCAAAGTCAGTGAAGTGCATCCTGATCAGCTTCTGCACCCTGCTAAGGATCTTCAGGGAAGATCTCTTCCCTACTGATTTTACATTATTTTTCTGAGCTGAAGAATCCAAAACTATTAACTAATAAGGTTTTAAATTAATACCTTAGATCATCCCATATATCCTTCTCTTGACCTTTTCCAGTTCTTATAAATCCTATCTGTGATGAAGAGACCCAAAGTGCACAAAGTAAACAAGGTGTGGGTGAACCAATGCTAAGCTGTTGCATGGAGTTATGGGTTACGGTCACTGTGGAGCAGCATCAGTTTCAGCACAAAACTAGGACTGGATTTCTTCATGTGTGTTACTTCACACTTATCAATGCTGCATTTCACCCTCAAGCTATCGTTTCACCACCTGCATCAAGGTAGACCTTACAATATTTTAAAAACTTTGAGTGAAAAATAAATAACAAAAAGTTATCCAGTCACTTTAGGATATTCTCTGGCTCTCTTTCATGTAGCAGCACAGATGTAGCCAAACAGACACTGAGCCCAAATTAGAGCATAGTCAGTCTAGGAAACATTTATCAAGTCACCACCAGCCCTCTCTCTCACTTCCCAGTCCCCCATGAGTCCCTCCACCCTTCTCAGACCCAGGGCCCCAAGTCAGTCAGCTCCTGCCTCAGCAATGCCACAGCAGGGCCATTATCCAGCTCTCCACAGCCCTGCCTGGCCATGGGCCCCACTGAACCCAGTCCTGGCCTGGTCTTGGCATGTCCCCATCCCCAGGGAGGTGTCTGATGCCCAGGACTGGGGCTGCCCTGGTGACCCTGGCTGGGGCTGGGACAGGCCCTGGCTGCCCAGGCCTTTGAGAAATGTATTGAAGTTTAAAAACATAGACATCAAGTCCACCTACTGGGCAAACAGAAGGAGCAGCTGACCAACATCTCATTCTAGTGTTGCTGCTTTTAAAATGTGGTTATTTGAAGGAAGCATGCCAATGCCAGCTTCTAAAAAATAACTATGAAAAGACCAACAAATGAACAGGTATGCAAAGAAAATAAAATCAGTCTTCAAAATGCTTGGGGAAAAATAAGAGAATTAAAATGATACAGAAATCTAAAAATAGCCCAATAGCAATGAGAAATGTCTTACTTTTGTTTCATAACTTGGTTTCCCTTCCCTCTTCTAAACTTGGAAGTTATTCATACGTGGCAGGTACAAACAAAGGAAAGAATCTTAAATCATGTCCTTTTTAATGTTTGGTTTTTTATTATATGTACAAAAAAATTCTCACACACATTCATAGCTTAAATTGATAAACAATAATTAAAAAACAACCAACAAACAAAAAAACAGAACTTAAACCTGAACAGAAGCCTGTACATTCATGTCTTCTAAGTAAAATTACATTAACCATAGAGGCAATCAAATAAGCATGTCACCCAGGAGCCATATACCCCAAACCAAAGGCAATGTAGATATGAACTTCTCAGCAACCTCTCAAATGGCAATCTCTATTTATGTGCATGTAAATATATATGTATACACATGCACATATATATGTATCTACATATGTCAACTCACATCCACTGACTGAGGAAGGAAGAAATCTTGCTACCAGAAGTACATGTTTCCAGTGTCAAATAACAATATGTTAGGCGACTTAAAAAAGAATATCATCATCTTTTCTCTAAAAATACCCTCCAAACCTTTGCGGTATACACTTGTTAGACACAAAAGGTTGCAGTCATTTGGTTCTGTTCTGTATTCTTTTTTCAAGGAAGAATTCCACTGACCCAAGTGGGAATTTTGTGTGATCTGAGTTAACTAGAAGAGGTACCTGAATGAGGCATCCTTCCTGTTCCTTTGTAGGCAGAAGAGGGATGAAGGGTATGAAGAGCT